CGGCCCCGACTCAGTGGAGAGTGTGGTGGGGATGGGGTGCGGGGTCCACGCCTGCAGGCACATTCCTGGTGGGGACCGAGCAATGGCAGGAGGGTTGGGGGTTGGCTGCGGGGCAGCTGGATACAGGCCCTGCTCTCCAAAAATGGGCCCCCATCAGCCATCCTTCCCCCCAGCCAGGGTTAACACCAGGGATCCCGCTCCGCTCGCCCGCGGCAGAGGCTGTCGCTGCGCTGCCAGGCGCTGTCGATGAGGCTCTGGGCGTCTTCGCATTTCTTCTTGACGGTGGCGTCCAGAATGGCCTTGTGCAGGAGGTCGACCTGGAACACACGCGTGGGGCAGTCGGGAAGGGAACGAACGATAGCCGCTTCTCCCCTTTGTTGTAAAACCAGCTCAAAAACAGATGGGGAAGTCGCCTCTGTCATAAATACAGGGGATGGAGGGGGTTGGGGCTGACCCAGCTTCTTCCCCACTCCTCTTGCCAGCCCTGGATGCTCATGGCCCGCCCTTGCCACGAGACTCAAGCTCCGAATCCCACATCTCATAGTTAATGGCAGTGCTGGGTTAACGGTTGGACTTGATGATCTTAAAGGTCTTTTCCAACCGAAACAATTCTATGATTCTATTCTGTGACTCTATACGGACACAGAGGAGCTCTGTGGCTCTCCTGCCTGTTGTGGGAAAGCTGTCGTGGGTTCACCCTACGGGGAAAAATTCACCCACTCCTTCCTTGGAGGGCGCTGGCCCCGTTTACCCTTCCTGGCTGAAGGAAGGGTGCGATGCAGCCTTGCACGCTCACCTGGTAGATGTTCCTCCACGCGGCGTTCAGCGCCGAGAGGAACCTCTCCAGTTCTGTAGTGCAACTAAAATAGAGGACCCAGGGGGGCAGGAACTGCTTGCGGTCCTGAGCAAACTCCTAAACATCAAGAGAGGGGCTGAGCGTTACCACTGCAGTCTTTGCCCAGCCCTGTGCCGTCTGGCCCCAAAGCACCACGCTCACCAAGATACAGTACTCCTTGCCAGCCTCCGTGGAGATGGCGGTGATGTCTGTCAGCTCCACGGTGCCCAGCGAGCGGAAGAAGCTTGTCTGGCAGTCCTCGTGGCAGGTGAAAGCCTTCTTGTCTGTCAGCACGAGGCAGCAGGGGACGCAAGGTGTAGGGGCAACACCCTGGGGGATCACCTGCACAGGGTGGGGAAAGGGAAGGTTAAAATTTGGCATGAAGGTGGGGAAGCTCTCCTGGCTTGGGAGAAAATCGCCTGCTCCATCCCCACCAGACATCCCCACTCCTGTCGGCAGCTCCGTGGCCCAAAGGGGCTCCGGGGCAAAGAAGGGGGTCGATGCACCCGCACCTGGAGGCCTGTCCCCGGGCTCACCCCTTTGGAGACAGCTTGGCAGAAGTACTGCATCCAGTCTGCCATGTCTTCCTCGTTCTCGGCGCTCAGCTCCAGGGAGGGCCGGTCCGTCAGGATCACCTGGAAGGAGTGGGGCCGGTCGGTGGTGTTGGAGCGCCGGCATCCCCCACACTGCTCGCCGCTGGGAGAGAGGGGGAGGATGGAGATCAGCAGGATGGGACAGCCAGCGCGAGCCTGAAAACAGCCTCCGCCTGCCCTCCCTATGCTGCACGTCACCCCTTTCCCCCACAAGCACTCGTCTCTCATCTGTGACATCCCCTGTGGTTGCTCCAAGGATGCCCTCTGTCTCTGCATGTCCTGGTAGAGCTGGAGCTGAGCACAGCAGGTTTGTGGAGGTCACCCAGCATGGCTCTTGGAGGGGTACATCAGCCCTTCAGAGGCCAAATCCCCATCAAAGGGTGGGCTTGGCGTGCAAAAACCAGGAAGAAATGAGCCCATCTCCAGCTACGCGCACCGGAGCCAAAGCAAATGGGCACCTGTACTCTGCCAGGAGCAAGCAGGGAGTCCTGCGACACAGACTGGATCATGATTTGCCCTCCCTGAGCATCCCAGGGAGCTCCTGATCCCCAGATCCCCACCGAATCTGGGCGCGACATCCTACCAGCCACTTACCCCATGTTGATGGAGAGCAGAGGGGTGACGTCGGTGCGGTCTGGGTACTGGTACAAGATCCCGTTGCTGCCATTTGGGAAGATGAGAGAGGTGGTAACTGGAGTCAGCTCGGCTCTGGCAACTGCACCGACACCCTCTGCCTTTGGTCCCACAGCCACTCCTGCCCTGCCCTCCACCCACGCAGCCCTGTGGGGTTGTGGTCCTGCTGCTGGGCAGCCACAGCTGGTGGCTTTAGCCTCCCAGGTGACAAGATGGGTCCTTTCCATCTCCCAAGCAGCTCCTGGGTAGCAAACTGGTCCCAGCGCCTTGACGAGCCCTGGCTGACCCCAGTCCCAACTCACAGCCCCGGCGCCCACCTGAGCACCACGAAGCAGGTCTTCCACTGCTCCTTGCCCAGGTAGGAGGTCCCCGCCTTGTAGTGCAGGATGCCATCCTTGGTGACCGTGTTTTCGGCAGAGGTGTAGCTATTGTTGGTGGATCCCAGCGCCTCGTCCATGGGGTCTTCCCAGTGAACAAGGCCGTAGAAACGCACAACCACGTCGCAGGCCTGCGAGTATCAGGTGGAGAAGTCAATGGGAGGGAGTCTCCCTGAGCCTCCGCCACATGTAGCGATGGCCATGATATCCAAACTCACCTCACACTTGGACTCCTGGGCCACAAACTTTGCGAGTGCCAGTTTCTCCATGGTGGCATCCGTGAGGATACTGGGGTACGGGGGCTCCCGGCACCCTTTGATCATGGCTGACTTCAAGGAGACCAGGAAGAACCTGAGAGGGAGACAGATCTCTGATGAGGCCAGGGCAAACAGCCCCTCATCTCCCTCACGCACTCTCATACCAAAAGGGCTTCCCTTCAGTGTGGCCTCTGGTCTCGAAATCAACCTACAGACCAAAGGTGACGGGGTTGCAACGTCTGAGCTCCAGGAAGGAGATGGGTGAGACTGGGAGATGGACACCCACCCTAACACAGATCCCAGTATGACCATCCAGGCCCTGGTGAGGTCACCTCCCTGAGCTGACAACACGCAGAGAAACCTGGGGATGTGCCTTGAAACTCAAGACCTCGTTCGTACTCATCCCAAGTGACACAAAGGACACGCAGTCTGCATTGCCCAGTGCCTGCAGGGTTTAGCCGGCGGCATTAAACCAAACCCCAAACCCCTCTCTGGTCGCAGGACTTTGTCGTGAAGGGCTGTCCCTGGAGTCTCTTGCATTCCCCAAATCATGCTGGGAGTGCCGGCCAGAGGTCCCGCACCCCAGGAGGGAAGTGCCACGGTTCGCCGCCCGGTCCCCGCTTACTCGGTGAGAGCCACGTCTGCAGTGTCGAGCAGGTACTGCTTCCTCCGGTTGGTGCACACCAGAGTCACCGTCTGCTGATCCAGCCCAACCTGCGCCACATATGACCGGTTAGGGAAGCTGGGCAGGGGATGAGGGGCAGCGAAGCAGGGCTGAACCTGGCTTCTGGCCCCAAGGGGGGGGAAGGTCAGTGGTTGCTCTGCTGCCCATGCGAAGATAGGAGCAAGCTGGGCACCCGCAGAGGTGGCATTTGAGGGGGGATCACTTCTAACTCTCCCAGTCTCAAAGATTCACTGGCCAAAATGCTCCCTGGGGACAGAGAGCCCCACAGAAACACCCCATGGTGATGCTCCTGACACCCCTGCGGCCAGAGAGATGAGGACTGACCCCCCCCACTCGCCTCCTGCTCTTCGCAAGAGGCCTGACCCTACCCAGGCTGTGCTCACCGAAATGTAGTCCAGCTCATTATAGGACACAGCCTCCTCCACCATGTATGGCTTCTCCGCTGCCCCTGGCACAGACACAAAGAGCCATGTGAAGGGGGGCAAAAGAACCAGCGCTGCCCCGATCCAGGCCGCTGTGATGGATCTGCAAACCAAGCCATGTCCCAGGCAGCACGGAGCTGTGGGTCACGTGTCCCAGGGCTTCTTGGGGGACCATCTCCCCTATGAGGAAAGGCTGAGGGAGCTTGGCTTGTTTAGCCTGAAGAAGAGAAGACTGAGAGGGGATCTCATCAACATGTACAAGTATCTCAAGGCTGAATGTCACAAGGATGGAGCCAGACTCTTCTCGGTGGTGCCCAGTGACAGGACAAGGGGCACAAACTGAAACATAAGAGGTTCCAGTTGAACGTGAGGAAGAATTTCTTTCCTTTCAGGGTGACCAAGCTCTGGCCCAGGTTACCCAGGGGGGTTGTGGAGTCTCCTTCTCTGGAGATATTCAAAGCCCGCCTGGATGAAGTCCTGTGCACCCTACTCTGGGTGACCCCGCTTTAGCAGGAGGGTTGGACTAGATGATCTCCTGAGGTCCCTTCCAACCCTTGCCATTCTGTGATTCTGTGAAGTCAAGCTGAGCTCCCTGACTGCCACCACTCTGCGGGGACATGAGGGAACTGACAGGATCTGGCAGTGAAGGTAGTGAGCTACAGTGCCCTAATTTAGGGACAAGCCATGGATCAAGCAAGCCTCCCTCCCTGCAGCTAAGCACGGAGGCTGTCGGGACGGGATACCTTTCCGGATCAGGTACACGTAGCAATCTGTCAGCAGGACGTAGATCAGCTGCAGGTTCCCCTCCATGTGCCCAGTGCTCATTCGAATCATCTGTGTGGAGAGAAAAGAGCTCTCAGCCCACAGCCAATGCAGGCACAGGGCCGCTTCTTCGCAGGAGATTGATGGTGACCACCTCACCCTGAACAACTGTTCCTCATTCTCCCGAAAGACGTGGATCATCAGCAGGAGGAGATGGTTGTTATCCACCCTGTGAAGAGAGACAATAGAAGATGCGTCCCTTCCAAGCCAAAACATTCTATGATTCGATGATTCTATGATTCTATGGACCACCACATGGGGCTGGGTGACTCCAGGAAGGGCAGTCCCCTTCCTTATTCAACTTGGCCACGATTTGGGCACCTGTTGGCCCCCCAAGACCTCCTCCTCCTGACCCCTCGTGCCTCATCTTCATCCGGGAAAAGGATGGGCTTTGCCCCCAAACTCAAGACAAAGGGAAAAGTGACAGCCTGAGCTCAAGATTGTTTGGGAAAGATGCTCTCCCTGCTCAGCAAACTCAGCCTCACCTGAACTCAGAGGGATGGGTCAGCTCTGAAGGGCTGCCCTGCCCTTCCTCCACGCCAGAGTCCTCGGCGCTGCTCAGGGAAGGGCTGGGCTGCTCCTTCTTTGGCTCACAGAGAGCCTGAGGGTTGGCAGTTTCTGTCTGGCCAGTTTGGGGTTCATCGCTTGCCCCTCCACACTCCTCTACTGCCCCAACTGCTTCTCCTTCTCTGCTTTCTTCTTCTTCAGGAGCCTCAGGGCTACCAGAAACATGTGCCGGTTGGCCAGGCCCTGGAGCGTCATGGTGGCCACCACCTGGTGCAGCAGCGTTTGGACTCTCAACGGTAAAGCGGTAGAAGTCCATGGGGGCTGAAATCCCCTCACTAAAGTCGCCAGAGGACGATCCATCTGGGGTCTCCCCTGGCGTGCCAGTCCGAAAGGACTGCCCGGGGGGCTCGAGGGGGGCGTTCCAGCCACCGGGGTCCAGCTGCCCGTTGAGCCTGTCCATCACCTTGCTCAGTGGCTGCCCCACACTCTCCATGGATATGTCCTTCATCTCGGGGATGCGTAAAGCCAGCTGGCTGAGGGTGGAGCGCTCACGACTCTCTTCCTGACCGCTCGGGCTTGGCTCACCAGCCGGGGCAGCGAGACCATCATCTCGCTGCAGGTCTTCTCTGTCACTCAGCCCGTTCACACCACTGTCTCCACTGGCCTGCTGGGTCTCGGGCATCTCGGGCGCAGGAGTGTTCACTGGCTCCTCGGGCTTTGCTTTCTTTTTCTTCCCTGTTTTCTTCTTCTTGGCTAACCTGCATGGTGAGAGACCAATAGAGATGTCACTCATCTGTGCTTGCTTAGACTTCTGCGATGTAGAGAGGGGTCCTACCTTTCCCAACAACCTTCCTTTGCTATTTTCCCTGTTGCAGATAAATCCTTATATCAAGATCATTGCTCAATGTGCGGCCACACGGAGCCCCCATCTCCATGCCAGCTGTCACAAGAAAAGCAGGGTATGGACATGGTTTCCTACCCATCCAAAAGACAAAAAAAAAAAAAAAAAAAAAAAAAAGAGGCATTGGCTGCTGCATGTAGCATCTTGGGCTTCCTTTGGCTGCAAAGGGGATCACAAATGGATGCGGAGCTAAAGTGAAGTGGGAGAAATCCCTGTCTGAGCGCAAGATGCAGGGAAAGGAGAAGGTTTCAAGGGGACGTGGGAATGACGTATCCTCAGCTGCCAGAAGAGGGAGATGAAGGCTGGAGCCTGCTCCAGCCTCATGGCACACCGGGATGCTGGCTGCGGAAGCAGGATGCCGGCTGCAGAAGCATTCAGGCCTCCCATGGCACCCAAACTGCTGCCAGGTCTCTCTTGTTTGGGAAGCGAGCACAGTGCTCCCCTTCCCTTGTGTCTGACGGAGAGCAGGGTGTGATGTAACCCAGCTCCTCTGCTCCTCCCAGGAAAAACAGGGTGCAAGAACAAAGCACAGGCCTGCTGGGCTGGTTTTGGGGTGCCTCCATCCCTGGGTGTGAGCAGACGGAGCCTTGAGCTCTCTGTCTGGGTTTATGGGCTCCGAGGGACCCCTGGGGATCTCCTCTGCAAGAGTCAAACACAGGCCAGCAGGTCTGCAGAGGCATCTCCCTCAACAGGTTTAGCCACAGGTCATTAACAAACAAGAGGAAGGATGGGAAAGAAGGTCTGAGACCCAGAGTTGCTGCAAACCTGCCACCAGCTGGAGAAAGCCTCAAATAAAAGCTCACGGCTTCCTCTGAGCTCTCTGATACAGACTGTCAGGCAAAGGTGTTTGCATCGAGCCAGCCTGGAGGCTCTACAGACCCAAGGAACCAGCTCTGTTGACACCTCTGTACATCTCTGGAGGTATAAAACCACTTTCTCATGATTGCAAAAAGGCTACACCACAGATGCTGTCTCCACTGGGCTAGAAGACGGGGTATATCATCAACCTCTGGGGACAGACCACACTCAGGGGCATGTTTCCAGGCCAGGCAGCTCTGTCCCTACCTGATGACCTCCAGCTCCGTGCAGCTCTCAGACTGGTCCGTTCCTTCAGGGGTGGCTTCTGCCTTCTCCCGGGAAGCTGTGTGCACTGGTGTGGTCTCGGTGGAGGATGGTGCATCGGCTTTCTCCTCGTTGAAGGGGTTGTAGCGCTGCGTCGGGCTCTTCACGGAGGCCTTGCTGCTGTTCGCCTCCGAGGCAGTGGAGCGTGGGCAGCTGAGTGTGTCCGTGAG